TAATCGTTTCGTCTTTGGTAAATGATGTGCAGGTGGAACAATTGTTGGAAGTATTGAAGGAGCATAGGCAAGCCAATGGATGGACAATTGCGAACATCCGAGGGATTCCTGCGGGAATTTGTGAACACAAGATCCAATTGGAGAGTGACACGAAACCAAGTGTGGAACATCAACGACGGTTGAACCCGTCAATGCAAGAGGTGGTAAAGAAAGAAATCATCAAGTGGTTGGATGCCGGGGTTGTCTACCCTATTGCCGATAGTTCTTGGGTGAGCCCAGTGCAAGGTGTACCGAAAAAGGGAGGCATGACCGTAATTGAAAATGATAAAAATGAGCTCATCCCAACAAGAACGGTGACCGGTTGGAGGGTGTGTATGGATTATCGGAAGCTCAACAGTGCCACATGCAAAGACCATTTCCCTATGCCTTTTATTGATCAAATGCTTGATCGGCTAGCGGGAAGGTCATTCTATTGTTTCCTTGACGGATATTCCGGCTACAACCAAATCAACATCGCATTGGAGGATCAAGAGAAAACAACATTCACTTGTCCCTATGGAACTTTTGCCTTTAGTCGGATGCCATTTGGTTTGTGCAATGCTCCGGCTACTTTTCAAAGGTGCATGATGTCCATTTTCTCCGACATGGTGGAGGATTTTCTAGAGGTCTTCATGGATGACTTCTCGGTAGTAGGTGATTCTTTTGAGCATTGTCTTAACAATCTTAGACAAGTGCTTAAGAGATGTGAGGAAACCAACCTTGTGCTAAACTGGGAGAAATGCCATTTCATGGTGGATGAAGGCATCGTATTGGGGCATAAAATTTCAAAACATGGCATTGAGGTTGACCGGGCTAAGATCGAGATTATTTCCAAGCTTCCTCCACCTACTTCCATCAAAGGTGTTTGAAGTTTCATAGGGCATGCCGAAATTTATAGGCGGTTCATCAAGGATTTTTCCAAAATTGCAAACCCTATGTGCAAGCTCCTTGAGAAAGACGCCAAATTTGTGTTTGATGAGAAATGCCTCAAAGCTTTTGAGGAATTAAAGCTAAGGCTCACCACGGCACCTATTATTGTCACACCCGATTGGTCTCTTCCTTTCAAGCTCATGTGTGACGTTAGTGGTGTAGCTATTGGAGCAATGCTTGGCCAACGTCACAACAAGGTTCTCCACCCGGTCTATTATGCAAGCAAGACACTCGATGGGGCGCAAATGAATTACACGGTAACTGAGCAAGAGCTTCTTACCATTGTTTATGCCTTTGAGAAGTTCCGAGCTTATTTGTTGGGATCCAAGGTGATAGTGTACACGGATCATGCTGCTCTTCGCTACCTTATGGAAAAGAAGGATGCAAAGCCACGGTTGATTCAATGGGTTTTATTGTTGCAAGAGTTTGACTTCGAGGTCAAGGATCGCAAGGGAACTCAAAATCTAGTGGCGGATCACTTATCAAGGCTTGAGGAAGCAGGGCGACCAAAGGGAGATCTTGAGATCAATGATGAATTCCCGGATGTACACATCTTGGCACTTTCTAGCACTTTTGCTCCTTGGTATGCCGACATTGCTAACTATTTGGTGAGTGACCTTATTCCGGAGGGTTTGGAGTCCTATCAAAAGAAGTTCTTGAGAGATTGTCGGCAATATTATTGGGAAGAGCCATACTTGTTCCGTGTTTGTGCCGACAACATCATCCGAAGATGTGTTCCAGAAGAAAAAGTTATGCCTATTCTAAAAGCATGCCATGACTCGCCGGTTGGGGGTCATCATGGGGGAAATCGAACGACAACCAAGGTACTTGAATGTGGTTACTATTGGACGACAATCTATCATGATGCCAATCAAATGGTCAAGGCTTGTGACCAATGTCAAAGGCAAGGATCAATCTCCAAGAGGCATGAAATGCCTCTGAACTTTGTGATGGAGATAGAAATCTTCGATGTGTGGGGAATTGACTTTATGGGTCCATTTGTGAGCTCTTGTGGAATGAAATATATCTTGGTAGCTGTGGACTATATGTCCAAATGGGTTGAAGCAATTGCTTTGCCTAACAATGAGGCAGGAAGTGTGACCGCATTCTTGAAGAGAAACATATTCACTCGGTTTGGCACTTCTAGGGCCATTCTTAGTGATGGTGGGTCTCATTTTTGTAACAAGGCTTTTACGGGGCTACTAGAAAAGTATGGCGTCAAGCACAAGGTGGCCACACCTTATCATCCCCAATCTAGTGGTCAAGTTGAGGTTTCCAATTGGGAGATCAAGAGCATTCTAGCAAAAACTGTTAATGCAAGCAGGACAGACTGGTCAAGGAAGCTAGATGACGCATTGTGGGCATACCGCACGGCGTACAAAACTCTTATTGGTACTTCTCCATATCGGTTAGTCTTCGGCAAAGCTTGTCATCTACCTATAGAATTGGAACACAAAGCCATGTGGGCTCTGAAAAGGTTGAACTTGGATTGGGTTGAAGCTGCAAATTTGAGGTTGACACAACTCAATGAAATGGAGGAATTCCGTTTCCATGCATATGAAAGTGCAGCTGTGTATAAGGAAAGTATGAAGTTCGTCCATGACAAGAAGATCTTGAAAAGGGATTTCAAGTCGGGTGACTTGGTCTTGCTCTTTAACTCCAGGCTCAAATTATTTCCGGGCAAGCTAAAATCCAAATGGTCCGGTCCGTTCAAAGTGTTAAACCTCTCTCCTTATGGAGCTATGGAACTGGCATCGGAAGATGGGTCCCGGACTTTCAAGGTAAATGGCCAACGCATCAAGCATTACCTGGGCACAGATGGAGAAAAACATTTGGTGGAGCAGCTGGCTCTAAAAGATGGTCCGTGTCCGACTATTGAGTGAATCCAAAGGAATATCAACTTCGTCGTGCCGCGACGTTAAATCAAGCGCTTCATGGGAGGCAACCCATGTGTGGTAACACGCTTTTGTTATTTGAATTTTTAATTTTTGATAGATAGATTTACTTGAGCAATTTAAAGTGTGTGTTAGAGTGCAGGGGGTTCAAAAGATCACAACACATGGTGGGAATGCATGAGAAAGGTAAGAAAAATCGCTGTGTGAAGTTTGCTGCAAAAA